GCAACGCGTAAAAAGACAGTACAAGTCATTATAATCCATAATTATGTCCCCACTGGATGCAAGGAATGCCTCATTTATAATGGGTTTTCATGTTTTTGAATCATCGCTCCGGCCTGACAGGGCATCATCACAATGTGGTAAGGGGCGTAACATTTCCGTCACCCGCTTGAGGTATTCGGCCAATCACAACGCACTGGATAGCTGGCCAATCACAGCACACCTCGCTTTTTCAGACCGATGAGCTTTGTAAAAATCAACGCGTTTCAGAAAGGCGGGGTATAGAGGAGAAACAATAATGTACAGTATGTGGAAAATAATGTGTTTTTTGAACCTTAAACCGCATAAACACATTTCATTACACCAAATACACAAAATAATGTTATTTTTAGCAGCATCATATGACCCCTTTAAAGTTCACAGGAGGCTCATTGTAATTCTTTATAATTCTCTATAAGTCTCTCGTGAGAAGGTTAAACTGAAGGCAACAGTTATAAAATAATTAAAATCTTTAAAAAAGGCTGAGAATATTTTATTTGGTTTCTCTCTTCCAAAATCAATGTATGTCTGAAGACTACAGCTATGAAGAAGAATCAGAAAATATTTAAAATACATGAATGTACTGTACTGCATTAGATAAAACTAAAGTATTATAAAGTAAATAATAAATAATATTATAAATATTATAAAGAAACATATAATAATTGATAACAACCAAATCAGCATATTAGAATGATCCAGTGACACTGAAGAATTCACTGAACATTTACTGAAAATTCAGCTTTTCCATCACAGGAATAAATGACATTTTAAAATATATTAAAATAGAAAACAATTCTTTTAAATTGTAATCATATTTCACAATATTACTGTCACGGTTTGCTACTGTGAGGAGCACGGAGCGAGGAATGAGGAGACGCAGAGTCCAATTCAAACATAAAATCTTTAATAATATCCAGGGAAACAGGAAAACACACGTAGCAAGGGTTGACATCAACAATTCCAGACAAGGGAGAACAGAACGGGCTAGAACTCAAATAGGGCAGATAACGAGGGGCAGACAGGTGAGGAGGATAACTAATAACAAGGAACAGGTGACTACTAATAATGAGAACAGGAACCAAACAAAATAAGGTCAAACAGGAGCATACACGTGACATTACTCCCCCCTCCCGGATGGCGCATCCCGCACCGTAACAATACCACCGGGGAGGGGGAGTGGGCGTCCTGGAGGCTGGTGCAAGACAGGGACACAGGGAAGGCCTCCAGGGCGGATCAGGCTGTCCGAGGAGCCATGGCGGATCGGGCAGTCCAGGGGGCCATGGCGGAATAGGCAGTTCGGGGCGCCATGGTGGAGCAGGCAGATCGGGGCGCCATGGCGGAGCAGGCAGTTAGGGGCGCCATGGCGGAGCCGGCAGTCCAGGGGGCCATGGCGGAGAAGGCAGTCCAGGGGGCCATGGCGGAGCTGGCCGTTCAGGTTGCCATGGCGGAGCTGGCCGTTCAGGTTGCCATGGCGGAGCAGGCAGCTCAGGGGGCCATGGCGGAGCAGGCAGTTCAGGTTGCCCTGGCGGAGCAAGGGATCTGGGGGGCGCTCTGGAGGAGCGGGCACTGGAGGGTGCTCTGGAGGAGCGGGCACTGGAGGGCGCTCTGGAGGAGCAGGGCTGGCTAACTCGGCGGACTCAGGAGACGAAGGAGGGCTGGACGGGACCAGCAGAGGCGATGGAGACTCCGGAGACGATGGAGAGCTGGACGGGACCAGCAGAGACGAAGGAGAACTTTCTGGAGCGGATTCTGGGGTGAGGGTAGGAGCCGAGAACTCTGGAGGTAGCGCCATGTCCAAGAGCGCCGAGTCAGCGGCGGCCGGCGGGCTTGAGTCAGTGGCACCGGAGGATCCCTTCCCTCCAGCTTAGAACAGTGATGTCTGGGAGGTCCACGGGGCGATGGTAATTTGCCCTAATCCAGAACAGCGAGTTGAGCGTGGCGTCGTCTAATGCCGTACTCGCGGCGATCCCGCAGAACTCCCACGCATACTCCACGAACGGAAGATCCAGGCGAGCTAGGCCGGCGAACCGAGCGGCAACTTCCATAGCCGCGGGGAGAAACTGGGAAAACAAAAAAAACATTAAACAAATGAAAACAAAATGGGGAGAAGGGGCGCCGCTTACTATTTTGTTGGGTTTGGAATTCTGTCACGGTTTGCTACTGTGAGGAGCACGGAGCGAGGAAAAAACAAAATACTTTCAACAAATGAAAACAAAACGGGGAGAAGGGGCGCCACTTACTATTTTGTTTGGTCTGGAATTTTGTCACGGTTTGAGGAGCACGGAGCGAGGAACAAGAAGACGCGGAGTCCAATTCAAACATAAAATCTTTAATAATATCCAGGGAAACAGGAAAACACACGTAGCAAGGGTTAACATCAACAATTCCAGACAAGGGAGAACAGAACGGGCTAGAACTCAAATAGGGCAGATAACGAGGGGCAGACAGGTGA